AGTGCCTCGAATATCTATCTATGGATCATGTTTTAATATTCCTTTTTTTTCAGTTAGGCAAAATCTATTAGACCATATTACTAAAGTGTCTGTTTTCTCCATGTAAACAAATCATAACACGAATACGCCCGTTATAATGCCGACTATACATGTCAAACACTAGTGCAAGTCAACACGTGTAAACAATACACCCTTTACGATACCTGATAGTTGACAACGATAACGGTAAATAGTAATCAAGTGTAGCCAAAGGGGGAAAACTCATGCCGAACGTTGCGGCAAATGGCGGATGTCACTCCTTGTCTTTTTTTTTTTTAATACCGTAAAATTTGACCAGTTTTAAAAGAAACAGATTGGGTTTTAGTGATAATATATTGTTTGAGGCCATATGCTCGGATAATACTTAAAGATATTTAGATGTAGCAGAAACGTTTTCAAAAACCGTTACTTGATCGAAAATATGCCCCGCAATCTGCGGTCCCGTTCTCGAGTTCCTATGGTTGTCTACAAAGAGGATATTGAATGAGTGTAGGTTCAATACAGTGTTTATTGAACAAGTTGAATTAAATTATATTATGCAAGCCTCCTTGGTCGAGAGGTTAGAGTCGATGACTTCTAATCCAGTTACCTCTCTGGCGTGGGTTCGATCCCCGGGAGATGCTTTAGTAGTTTAGCACGGAGGAAGGTAGCCTAGTACTGGTGTAACTCTCCAGGAACGATGGTTAGGAAACTACCCGCCTGATAATTTTTTTGTACGATTATTTCAAGCATTTACAATATTTATAAATGTATGTGTATGTTTGGTCTTTAGTGCCAACTATAGCTATACCCGTCACATTACTTGGTTTGGCCGATAGGGGTTGTTCATAGAGTAACGAATTTGACGAAGAAATTGCTTTTATTAATGCAGAAAATTAGTGTCTGCTAATATCTTAAACGTATATTTCCTCATTAAACACATAAGAAACATAAGCGTTTGAAAGCCCTGATTAAGGTGGTATGGCAGTATAAGTGTCATATTCCTTGTGAGCCAACCGCCTCTGTGGTCGAGGGGTTAGAGTCGATGACTTCTAATCCAGTTACCTCTCTGGCGTGGGTTCGATCCCCGGGAGATGCTTTGGTAGTTTAGCGCGGAGGGAGGTAGTCTAGTACTGGTGTAACTCTCCAGGAACGATGGTTAGGAAACTACCCGCCTATATGACTGAAATACTGTTGGGAAAAGGCGTTAAATGAAACAAACAAACAAACAAATCCTTGTGAGCCACAGAGTGGTCGTTTCAATGTTACGGACTTTGTATATATTTTTAATCATTTTCACTTAAATGCAATAGTAAATATCATATCGTGTTTTTTTTTCTGTACGATTATTTCAAGCACTTACAATATTGATAAATGTAGGTATATATTTGGTCTTTAGTGCCAACTATAGCTTTACCCGTCACATTACTTGGTTTGACCGATAGGGGCCGTTCACAGAGTAGCGTTTTTGACGAAAAATTGCTTTTATTGATACAGAAAACTAGTGTCTGCTAATATTTATAACGCATATTTCCTCATTTATCACATAAAAACATAAAGATACGAAAGTCCTGATTAAGGTGGAATGGCAGTTTAAGTGTCACATTGCTTCTAAGGGACAGAGGGTTCGTTTCAAAGTTACAGACTTTGTATATGTTCTTAATCATTTTCACTAAACTGCAATAGTAAATATCATATCATGATTTTTTTGTACGATTATTTTGAGCATTTACAATATTGATAAATGTAGGTATATATTTGGTCTTTAGTGCCAACTATAGCTGTACCCGTCACATTACTTGGTTTGACCGATAGTGGATGTTCAAAACGTTACGTATTTAAAGAAATCGCTGTTATTGATAAAGAAAATTAGTGTCTGCATATATTTAATTAGCATATTTTTTCATTGGACATATAAGAAACATAAATTTATGAAAGCTGTTAATATGCTGGTGTCACATTCCGTGGGAGAGACAGAGGGGTCGTTTAAAAGTTATGATATTCGTGTATATGTTTAATATTTTACTAAAATTTCAACAGTAAAAATTATATTCTGATTTTTTTTATTTTGGCACGAATATTTTAAGCATTTACAATATAAATGAATGTAGGTATACGTTTGATCGTTAGTTCCAAATGTAACTATACCCGTCACAAGTGTTTGAAGAAAATGCTCCTCTTGATGTCTGCTACTATCTAATTCGCGTATTTACTTATTGAATATATAAGAGCCCTAAACGTATGAAAACACTGAATACGCTGTTATGGCAGTATTACTGTGACACAAATAAATTATAATTATTAGAGTTGTAACCATCTTCATCCACTGATTTTTATCTTTCCATAGCAGGGACTGTTTAAAGGCGGCTTCCCCAGAGAAAATTTTTTAAAAACATACAATTTTCCCCAAAAATGATATTTAATAAAGTATTTTTTCCCCTTGGCGATTACCACAATCAAGGGCAGGGCTTATTAAGCGCAAAATTAAGGGCAGGTCTGAGCTACTTTCCGAACCTGTGAAAAAAGTCCTGGAAGCGAATAGTTTCGTGGCGAATTATTTACTACTTTCTTCCAATATATTATGATTACTTTAACTTGGTACTGACACTATTTACTGTAATAAAATCTTAAACGTATATATGTTGACAATTTTATTCACATTAGTTAATTCTATGGCGTTAAACGTTTCGTATGCAAATTTTACGGTCAAATTCGTAAATAAATGCAATAAATATTAAAATACTCTTCATTAAATGGAGATGCGCGTCTCCGATGGAGTTTTCACTGTTTAACTTCCGTTCTTCGTGTCTGCTCTTCGTGTCTGCTAAAAAGATGTTGATCTTGCAAATCTCATACCGGAAGTGTGAAAATAAAAATAACATTTTCGCGCATGCGTACTTGCATATCTTATGGTACTTGCAAAACTCATACGACACCGGCTAAATTAGACATTGCATTATTTTCTATTCTGTCATCTTTGGCTACATTCAGGGTTTCCATTTCTTAGCTCCACTTTTCGAAGAATAGTTGGAGCTTTTATCGAGACGCATTCGTCAGCGATGGTTAAGCTCTTTGGTTAAGTTTTCGTTTAAAGTACTTATAATCAACATTAAGTTTTTGTTCCTTTATAACTTTTATTCTATTGAATTTATATATCTTATACTTTTCAATGAAAAATCTTGTTTGCTTATACATAAAGTCATAACAGTTTCTAAGATGAAGTTTTCATTTGCTCAACAGCAATGAATCGCCCAGTGCTTTCAGCGCTTTCATTATTATCAGTTATCTAATACCAACTCCGGGCGGTGACGGAAGAAAATTCTTTTAATAATTTAGGATGTAACCGATCTAGTCTTGTTCAGATTTTGGTTTCGTAATTTAGAGACATGACTTTATAACATGTACAATGTTCACTATTTTGAATTAAAAGAGCGTCTGTTTTTCTAATTTTGTTACTTTATATCATCGTTAACATAAGTTTGTCTAAATGTAACCGGGAGACGAATTTGCCATTTCCACCTAAAACCTTTCTTCACAGATATAGGAATGATAAAATAGTGTTTTTTTTACATCTGTAAGTGAAAGATCATCAACTTTAGTTAGTAGTCAATCTCCCAGATCATTTTATCATCTCCTGACATTTTGCTTCTTTCCATATTTCTACAATATAGATCAAAAATTGCACCAAGTACTGCTTACTAAAACCCCAGTCACACTAGAGCTTACGATTACTTGCGACTACCGGCGACGTGTAAAACCGACGATCATCGGCGATTGTCTGCGACCAAGCCCTCTTTGAACAGATAAATTTACTTCTGCGATTATCGTACGACCAATCATCATTGACAATCGCACGACAGGTCATCAGCAAACGTACGATGGTCTCAAGATTGCCTGGGATTACTTACGACTACCCGTGACCTGTCATGCGATCACCTACAACTTGTCGTACGACCATCACACGATTACTAAAGACTACTCAAGATTATCAGTGACTAGTGGCAATTTGTAAAGACTGTCGTAAGATTGTCGCACTTTCGAGCGACGATCGTGCGACAGCCTAAGACCTTATAAGATCACTAGCAACCTGTTTGATCGCAGAGAGGTTTTTTTTGCCAGCTCAAAAATCTCCCTACGACTGAAATTGGTCGTGGGACCTAAATAAGATAACCAGCGACTATCGAAGATCACCGTCGCAAGACGTTTTAAAGATTGTCCGCGACCAGTTGTCACTGGTGATCGTGAAGGTCTTTACTGGTCGTAAACTCTAATGCGACTGGGGCTTCAACATAGTTATCCTAACAATCTTTGTCATTACCTTATCAACAATGGTGACTGACAGGTAGCGTCGAGTCGCTTCAAGCAACTTGTACCGCGCAGTTGCAGCTGTCGACAGGAGATTTACACTCTTTGTGTGGTAAGGATATCCAACTTACAGAACACCAGCAAGTTTAATCTAGATTTGACTTGAAAACAATCCATACATCTTCCTCTGTGTATATTATTGCTTACAGGTAGGGTCGAGCGACTTCTGCAACTTGTACGGTCAGGGCCTGCATTGTACCGCACAGATACCGGTTCGGGTCCTTCATCAGGTTATCTAACTTACTGAATACTAGTTAAGTTTGGCCTGGGAAAACTTTTAAGTCTTTCCAGGTTTTAATAAAATGATCAATCCATCTTCCTCAGTGTGTCTACTGTTACTTCACTTATTCCTACTTTAATATCATCCCTTATTCCGCTAATTATCTTAATTGGACTTGTCCATATTTTAATCAAGACAAAACCACTTATTTTTTTATTTTTTTTTTGGGGGGGGGGGGGGGGATTTCAAAATATGTACTGACTGAACAACAATGCAGACCATGATCAAACGGCATGGACATACCAGCTGACTTTGCTCTGCATTGGTCGTATGTGTAGATTCTGTAAACAACTAGCAGGCTAAGAGCATGAGTTTGTGTAATTAATGACAAGAACACTTTTTGAAAGTCTGAGTTTTTTTTATCACATTGCACTTTTTTTAATGTCAAAGTTGAAACATCAATACATGTAGCTATAAATAGAATATCTTATGTACAAAACATTTATACACACCTTGTTTCAAAAGTTTTGAAAACATTTACAAATCTGCAATTCTTTTACAATTAACATTTTTCTAAATGAAAATTCCCATCCTGTTTATCTCCCTTAGTAAAACAATGTAACAAAAACAATATGTATACACATTTTTTTCTCCATTTAAAGACTTTTTTAACATAACTGATTATTTAAAGAATTAATACACATAAATGGCAATTTTCTTTTAATAAAATTATTGACATTACATACAAATTATTTGACAGTATTGGTAATTTCCATTTATTAAAGTAATTGGCATAACTGTCATTTTCTATTTAATAACTTAATTGACATTACTTACAAGTTCCATTTAATAAACTATTTGACATTACAAACAATTTACATTTACTGACTTAATTGACATTAACAATAGAAAATGATTTTAGCTATTTCAGTTATTAACAATATCTTCAGGACAATTGCACAAACAACTTATATTGTCACCTTTGGCTTAGTGCAGTAATGGTTTAACTCCAATTAAAATTCAATAAGAGTTAGTACACTAAGGTGACAATATTCAGTAACTCAGGATATAACATTTTTCTTGTTGGCATGTTACATATAAATTCCATGTCAATAAAATACAGCCTTGTATTAATTAAACATTTCAATCTCTAAACCAACATAGCACTTGCATTGACACACATTTACAGATTTAATCGCACAATTTTGACACACATTTAACACTTATTCCCTTTTTGTACAGTTCACAATATTATAGGCCAAGAATGAAGATATGTTTCCTTATGATAACCTCTATCTCAGAGAACATATGGTTCAGCAGTGAGTTTATAAACCATGGAAACTATACATCTGTCACAGCTATTTGTGGTATCATACAAAACCATACATTATAATTAACAAGGAGAACCAGTGCGCCATACTTTGATGTTAAACAAATAAAATGGTCAAAAAATCCTGAAAAATAAATTTCTGCATTTTCGCTTTGAGTTCCCGTTCTTTTCATTATGTGTATGATACATATTACACACATGTATTGTATTGTAAGTTGTCATTATTGTATACATAACTAGGGGTAAAGGACTCCTATATATTATATAAGGACAGCAGTATTCCATACAGGTTTTCACGATTTTAGGCACTTTGAACAGCTGGTACAATGAAAACACACATGATTAAAGCACTTAGCAACACAAAATAACATAATACCCAAATTACATTTTAAAGGTCTAGGCAATAAATGTTGTTTATGATGCCAGCATATCTGGTCTCAAGTTCTTTTTTCCAAATTTTCAATGGATCATAAATCTTTTCTTTACAATTAAAGCACCTGTCTCAGAAGAATTCCACTTCTTTAAAAAAAAATTTTTTCTTCTTTAATTAGCATTTTGAGTAGAGCACTCCCTGGTATGCATAAACCTTGTAATGTTAACTAAAATAATATACTGTATAAGTATATATTTCCGTGAGTTGAAAAGTTAGCGAATTTTAAATTCCAGACATTTCCCATGAGGAAATATTAGCAAATCGTGCAAAGGTAGAATTTATAATAGATTGGTTGATATTAAATTTTATGCTTGAAGAAATTTTAGATTTTCGTCAATTCCAGAAATTTGTTGCTAACTTAACCACTTGTACAGTAATTATCATTATTCTCTATAGCTTATGACAACAATCTGATTGTGTGATGAAAAAGTACCCTTCCATGATGAAATGAGTACAATACATTTTATTCAGCAGAAATTAAGACAAAAATGGCCATTTTTCTTTTGCTATTGATTAAAAAGATATGTGTTTATTCTAGATGTCACGTTCTGGTGTAAAATGAGACACAGGTAAATCAAAGCCATTCTAATAACATAGACCTGGATATTTCCCACAAGTATTGTTGTAAATGTAAACTAGTAAAATATTTCTGCCATTTTATAATAGAAAATTAGCGTTAAAGTGATAGTGTGCCATTCTCAATGATATATGTATCATAAAGATTTTTTTTCACTGGTTCATGTTTTCAATACAGTATACTACCACATATTATATTATTAGTGGTAAACTTTTTTTACGCCCATTTAGAAACATATCTCAAATATATAATATTAATAATGCAAGAATTTTCTACATTTTATAATTATACTGTATAACAGCAAGTAAGAGCACAATTCTTCCAAGTTTTAGCATGAACTTGTTTTAAATGAAGATATTTCGGCAGAAAGTTTTGTCTTTAACGGAGATGTTAATCCATTTTTAGTTGTTGCATTATAATGTTCCTTCAGTTGATTCAACGCCTGCACAAGTTTGCTGTTCGCCACGTCAAGAGATTGTATACGACGTTCCTGCGCCTCGATCACTTTCTGCTTGTGTGCGACGGTTTCCTGCATATCCTCTTGTTCGGTGCGTAGCTCATCTTCAACATGGATCAATCTAAAAATAGAACAAAACAGAATATAAATTTAAAGAATATTGTAATTGAAACAATGAACAATGAGGCAAAGTTGACAAAAATATGAAATAGTAACTTAACTTATGAATGAATTAGTGAATTCAGAGTTTAAAGACATGAGAAAGAAAAAAAGAAACATATAAAACTTTTTCATGTTATAAATACAAGCTCTTATGAGATAATTTAAACAAAATCTGATTGAGAAAAACAAAGTTTTTTTTTTTCTCCCAACATTATATACATCAAAAGACAAGATATTGTCATTATGGCACTCAATTCGCTCACCTAAATACACTTAAATCTAACAAGTTTAACAACTCAAAACTTAATGCTTAATCTGCTAGATGTGAAAGTAAGTTGCCTTTGCCTACATTTGATGCAGTCTGACCAGGTTCGATCTGTTGGTAGCCTGAATATTTCGACATGTAACCAGTCATGACCTTAAAGGGTTAATTTTGAAACACAATGTGGTGAGAATTTACCTCCATGCAATTTCCACGGGGTATTAGCCAAAGATATGAATTTTGAGCCAAAAGTTGGTCACTGTCAAAATCTAAATGTACAGTAACGGGAGACCAAAAGCCTTGGGAAAATTTCAAAATGTGAACAGTACAGGCCATGATCAGACAGCACAGATGTGAGAACTGATCCTGGTCTGTACGTGGTTTCATGGGTAGAGTTACGAGAAATAAAAGATTACCACTGGAAATCAGACATCAATCTATCCCATTTTCTCATAATAAGCAATTAGTGCTCCTACGAGTCTATAGTCACTTGTAAATTGAAGCATATAATGCTAAGAACTTCCAGAGATAAGTGTTAATAGGTTATTGATATATGCAAGGAGAGATTGTGTGAAGTTGATATATGTATTGCAGTGATTTTCAAATGATACAACAGTGAATTTTCACTTCAGTTGGTCAAGCGTATAACACAGTAAAGTTTAGTGATTAAATATATTTTCAAGGAGACTATAAGTATAACACTTTTTTCTATTAAAAGTTTCATGGAAGCAACTGTCAATTTCATGGAAACAACTGTCAATTATATTATCGAGTAAAAGATACAATGTAGAAAAAAAATGTAATTTAGCAAAAATTTTGACATTATGGTGATAAAAAACATAACCTATATAAAGAAAGTATAACATAAGATATATGGTGTTCCTGTCTAGCATAATGTCCAAAATGCATAAAATGAAGTGGATAAAAGGTCAAAGTTTGCGAATCAAAAATACACCAACAAAAAATAATTGCAATTGATGGAAACAAATTATTACTTTTGCATCATTTCTCAGGGCTCGAATTTAACACTTGCAAACTCGCAAAATGCTAGTTGAACTAGAAATGTGTCCATAGGACACTGATGCCCCCACACGCCACTGTTCTGTCAATCTTATGACTCTAGGTCAAATATTTTTTGGACTACATGTGCCACAAGTTGAAAACTAAAAATCAACAAAGGGCCATAATTCTGTTAAATTTGGTCGCAGCAAAAATTCCTTCCTTTACTACCATCTACACATTAAGGTTGTTAATCCCTGGAAGTTTAAGTAAAATCTGCCATCCGGTTTAAGAGGAGTTGCGTTCATAAAATTTCTACATAGTATATAATGAAAAAATCAACAAAGGGCCATAATTCTGTTAAATTTGGTTGCAGCAAAAATTCCTTCCTTTACTGCCATCTGCACATTAAGGTTGTTCATCTCTGGAAGTTTAAGCAAAATCTGCCATCTGGTTTAAGAGGAGTTGCATTCACAAAATTTCTACATAGTATATAGTGAAAAAATCAACAAAGGGCCATAATTCTGTAAAATTTGGTCGCAGCGAAAATTCCTTCCTTTACTACCATCTACACCTTAAGGTTGTTCATCCCTGTAAGTTTAAGCAAAATCTGCCATCCGGTTTAAGAGGAGTTGCGTTCACAAAATTTCTACATAGTATATAGTGAAAAAATCAACAAAGGGCCATAATTCTGTTAAATTTGGTCGCAGCAAAAATTCCTTCCTTTACTACCATCTACACATTAAGGTTGTTCATCCCTGTAAGTTTAAGCAAAATCTGCCATCCGGTTTAAGAGGAGTTGCGTTCACAAAATTTCTACATAGTATCTAGTGAAAAAATCAACAAAGGGCCATAATTCTGTTAAATTTGGTCGCAGCGAAAATTCCTTCCTTTACTACCATCTACACATTAAGGTTGTTCATCCCTGTAAGTTTAAGCAAAATCTGCCATCCGGTTTAAGAGGAGTTGCGTTCACAAGATTTCGGGACGTACGGACGGACGGACGGACGGACTGACTGACTGACGGATTGACGGACGGACGGACAAGTGCAACGCTATATGCTCCCACATTGTGGGGGCATAAAAATGATTTTGCAAGTTAGATTTATGACTACTAGCAATTTTTTGCGAGTTGAAGAAAAATTTGAGAACGCTCGTCAGGAAAATGCGAAATATAAATGGGGCGTAATATTCGCAGGTAGCCGAGTTATAAACTATACGCGCACTTGCTGTCTGATTTAAATTTTCTATACCTTAACCTCGCTTAAAAAAGTACACAAATTTAAACCAGTCCAAATGTAATTTTGTCCGTGTTAATCAAGCGTGATCGGAATAAAATGTCTAAACGAACTTCTTCCCACTTACTGAAGCAAATGTGTCATCCGATAACAATACTCTGAGTACAGAAGATGATTCACAGTCTATCAAAAGAAAGACAATCAGACCTTCAGTTAAAACGGTTTAAAATTGGGAGAAAGAACTGCATGTCAGTCTTACGTACTAACTTGATGACGATGGAAATGTTGCTAAAATATTTTGCGCTGATTGTTGTGCCCATAATCTAGACCAGACATCGTCGGTATGGCGACAATATTGCATTATTATTTTTTTTACATGTAGATTGACATTTGATAAGAATCCCTGTCCCCTAAATCAAGTTTTTGAGTAGCTAGTGGCCAAAAAAGTTAAATTCGAGCCCTGTTTCTATATAAAATTTTAACAAATTTATTTTGAATATGCATTTTTCTAGAATTCTAAAGCCCCAAACTTCTGAGCCATAAGATTTTCATATTATGTCTACAACAGGTCAAATTATATCATCATCCAGACATGGATCAAGCCTGGAGTGCCACCATACATTAACATTTCTGTTGTGAGAAATTTCAGACAAAATTACCCTCAAATAACACTGATAAAACATTAAACAACAAATACATGAATTATATAATCATACATTTAGTTTGCAACTGACTATAAATAATGACTATAACATAAAAGAAACAAAAAAGCCTGAATAAAATACAAAGTAGAAGATTTAAGTACATTAGTCGCCAAGCCATTGGTCATTGCTAACTAAACTATGACAATATACACAGCAAAAAGAAAATAATTAAATCCCTTTTCTCAGTGCAACAGTATAATCTTTTGTTTATAAACAGTACCTAACAAAAGAATGTCAGCCACATTATAATCTTTTGTTTATATACAGTATCTAACAAAAGAATGTCAGCCACAGTATAATCTTTTGTTTATATACAGGTATCTAACAAAAGAATGGCAGCCACAGTATAATCTTTTGTTTATATACAGGTATCTAACAAAAGAATGGCAGCCACAGTAAAATCTTTTGTTTATAATAATTATACAGTATCTTACAAAAGAATGTCAGTCACAAAATAATCTTTTGTTTATATACAAAAGAAAGTCAATTCACACTTATTTACAAAGCTGTTTGCCTAACAACAGAAAAAAACAACAACAAAGATTAACTGATGCACTAGAAACATTTGTTCAAACAAAAGCTGAAAAGAAATTTGTTGAAAAACAAGAACAGCAAAAGCACACAATGTCATGTTATTTATCAGCAAACAATAGACTATCTGATTATATTAAAGGTGCTGAGGAACCACAAAGTAACGAAAGATTATAAAAAAAAAGAAAACAAACAAAACTTTGAAACCAGTCTCCGGAATGCAAGAAAATCATTGGATAATATACTCCTATATACAGCCAATTAAACTTGCTAGAGAGATTGGTTGCTATGGTCTTATTTTCTTTGTGTTTTATTTTTTTATAACCTTGTATAAAGGCTGTAATATCTGTCTGTTGTTTTCTGAAGGGAGTGATAAGCTTTCTACACTGTGAACGGAATTGTATTTTGTTCTGAAGGTTCTCCAAATTGTAACAAATAATTTGCCAATAGATTTAATATAACAGCTGAGCATAGATATTTGAAAAGCTGTGTTATTCCACAGGTTTTGTATTCTTAGAATTATCACTAGTTGAATCAATAATATACCTGCAGGGAGTACTGTTAGCTTAGACATGGTTCAAACCTTTAACCAGTTAAAGTTGTGTAATGGATTTACCCAGCTTTGAATTTTAGGAACAGTTTCATTTAAAAAATTCAGAGATTTCGCTTTTTAAATTGAACTACCAAAAGAAGCCTGACCCATTTGGGTTCCAGCAGGTAAGGTTAAGGGCATTTTTTTCTTCAAGTACCTGGGAACAACTCCAAATAAAGGTTAAAATTAATGGCACATATAAAAACAGACATTTGGAGAACCTTTGTCTTTATAAAATTACGATGTAAGAAAACTGAAGTTGTCAGAAACAAAATGCAGACATGCTAGTAAATGGCACCACATAAAGCAGAAGGGTTCCAATGCACAAGTAAAACAAACCATGACAAACTGTGAACCAGTCGACCCAGAATTTTTTTGTCAAATGTTAGTCTCCATCAGTGGCAAGCTTGATTCTGACTGGTCTCTGAATGGAAAATTAGGCAGACATGTTTTTTTTACGGAACAGTTACTAAAGTCAGTTTATTTTATCTTCTTATAGTAATATTATAGGTATATTAAAGGGAATTCTTTTAAAAATTGCAGTTGATTACTTATTTTTTACTACTTATAGTAATATAATTAATTCATGTGCAAAGTTATAAAAAAAAAAAAAGGGTAATTCTACGATTTTGATATAAAATGTAAATAATTTAGTTTCAGAATAATCAAACTCTTCAAAATTTGCATGAATAATATATTTCAACACTTAACATACAAAACCAGACATTATAAAAGAAGAAAAAAAAAACAAGATTTATTTTTGTCATACAAAACAAAAGGGTTTATGACCAAATGCTTTAAGAAAGAAAGTACATGTAAACAGGGAAACATTTTTTTTTCAAATGCAGAGAAAAAAGTAACAGTCAAACAATGTTCCAGTGGCTGGAGGGTGTGTTAGTATGCCAATTTAAGCAAAAGGTACGATCAGATATGAACATTTACACACAATGCAAAAAAAAATATTGTGTTAGTGATGGCCATTTCCACATTTCACAATAACTTTACTGAAAATGCTTATGCAAAAAAAAAAAAAAAAAAAAAAATAGCCACTTTATTAATTATATCTTACTTGTGTTATAAATTTAAAAAACAGAAAAAGTAACATAGATTATTATAATAAGCTAAAAAATTATCTTGAACTGCTGTCATTGCCCCAGCCCCAAACCTCGTACACATAAAACATTCAGTTCCTTACAACTACCAGAAATAATCTCCTACCATTATTCAAATATCATAACCTTAGTGCAATAACAGTATAACTCCTTGCATAATTTCATAGGAGTTAACGCGTTGCTGCACTACCGTGATGACATCATTTACATTTAATCATACATAGCGATGCCATCAAGTAATTAAATAAGAATAATCACCTTTGTATAATGTTTTTCATCTGGTCATCTTTTTCCGCCTGTTGTTTTCTCATACGTTCCTCGCTCTCCTCGAGACGAATTTGCCACTCAGAAGCGATCATCGATGTTTCTTTCTCGTGATCGTGAAGTCGGTCCTCCGCATGTTTCAGTCGTTCTTGTGCCTCCTCCAACTGTTGTTTCAAAATGTTAACCTCTACTTCATACTGTAAAAAAAGAAAACATGTAATAATTTACCTCCACTTCATACGGTATATGCCAACTTTGGTCCTTTTAATGAGCTACAATTTAAGACAAATATGATAGTAATGGGCTTAAGGAACCAAGAATTGAAGATGTATTAGTGATCTGGCTTGGAGCAAATTTTGATCAAACAATTCAAATACAATGTACAACCCAGCTACTATGCAAACAAAGAAATGATTGTACAACCCAGCTACTATGCAAACAAAGAAATAAAGGATGTACAATACACATCCATAAATCCTTTAACCTCACTGTCACTTGAGCTTAAAAACATTAACCTCCCTTTTTATAGTGCAAGGGCCCCTAACCTCTTACTTTGGATTACAGCATTTTAAAAGTAGGAAGTAAAAAACTTCATGTACATTGATTTTTTTTGTGAGAAACTGCATGATTTAAAAGAAATAATCCTGATGTGAAGATGCCTGTAAATGGCACACTCTATAGGTTTTCTATTAGAAGGGACAAAAAAGACCTGAAGCTGTAAAATTCAACTTTTTAAGCAAAGCAAAGCAAAGTAAACAAAACATACTTCTTGTTTGGTCTTTTCCTGTTCATGAATTCTTCTTTGAACTGATCTTATTCCCATATGCACAGCATTCTGGGCTGACAATCGCCGTAGCAACGAGCTGTCGTCCGGTGACAGCCCACTACGTGGAGACACTGGTGAAGATGCTGCACTTGTATCACTGTACGGAGATGAGCTACGCTGTGACAAACTCGTATCGGTGGCCGTTCTTCTGATCTGATCACCATACCGCTGCGTAGAGTACGAGAAATCCATGCTATGAGAGAGCTCATTCCCGCGTCTAGGTGTACTACCTATAGTATTATAATACGTTGTCATGTTACTCACTGAATTAGACGTGGTCGACACAGATTGAGACAAGATGGGACTAGATGCACGTAATTCTAATGGGTATTTCCGTGTACTTGACGTGTGTACAGTATTTGAAAACGTGGTCTCTTTCGACCTAGCACTGACGTTATTATTTGATTGGCTATGCCGTGGTTTCATATTTACTTCCACATTTAAAGAATACACATTGTTATTTGATTTGCTGTGGGTTGGCAGTCGCCTGCTTTCAGCACTAGAAACTGAGGAGTACATATTACTGCTAGATAAACTGTGGTGCATTTTATCTTTATCTGGCACAGAGTCTAAACTACTCATGCTCGAAAGCTGAAGCGCCATGTTTTTTACAGGTGCCTCTTTGTGCTCTCTTTCATGTCTTTTCGTTTTTACAGGACTAAAATTTTTCACAGTGTTTGCCTCTTCACTACTCAAAGAACTGTTACTAGAGGCTTGCAGTATAGGTGATGCCATTTTTACATGACTAGTAATCCCCCGATGAGTGTGCCGATACATCGGGTTAGCGAAAGACAATGGGGTAGAGTGTGTGTATGAACTGTTATTGTTTGGAGATTTAAGAGGCTCGTGACCGTTTTCATGGTGGGCATTATCTATTGGTGAACTAGACTGACTATAGCCAAACGACTGATAGCCAGACGATGCTATCGTTGACACTTGACTTATAGACATTTGGCTGCCATTTTGTTCCATTTCTATTGATGAGTGATTTCCTTCCTCGTCCATGAAGGAAATAAGGTCAATATAATCCCCATTCACTACTTCCGCAGCACTCACCATTTGGTTCCACGATTTATTTACACGAGATTCATTCACTGTGGAACGCGAACTGACAGACACATTTGACACTTCTGAATGCGTAAATTCCACTTTAGACGATACACTATCCTCTGTTAAGTTTGAATCACTCGAAGTTATATTATCAACACTTCCCCTAGGTGATTCCGAGTCTTTATTATCTACAGCAAATATTGGCAACTGATTGGGCGATTCACCACATTGTCTTAACATGTCTTTTAAAAGTTCCGTCGAGGGCGTTGTGTGATCAATGTGGGCTTGTATATTAACTAGATTGTCGTAATGCTGACTTTTTCGGTTACTCTGTCTTCGTTGAGAAACATCCGGATCTTTCAGATCGTTGGTGATTTGTGAAAGTATCTTTGGTAAGTTGTCAAGTTTTGACATCGTCTCCTAAAATTGAAACAAGATAATTTAAACATTCAAGTATAATTCTTTATATGGGAAAAACTGGATGGCAAAACATTAGTACATAAAACTGTAAGTTTCTTTGACTCTAACATTTGTTTTTAACTTTTAACTCTATTATTGTATATTTTCAGAGAAATAACTAATCAAATAATAGCGCAAGTAAACTAACATCAAATTGATTTATGATTTCATCAAAAGTAAGTTAACTTTAACCCTGCTTACAATGTGAAATACCTTAAAAAGAATTGTCCATTTTGGACAAAAAAAGTAATGAGCCGCGCCATGACAAAACCAACGTAATGCATTTGTGACCAGCATGGATCCAGACCAGCCTGCCCATCCGCACAGTCTGATCAGGATCAATACTTGTTATAGGGATGTAAGTGGACAGCATGGATCCTGATCAGACTGCGCAGATGCATAGGCTGGTCTGGATCCATGCAGGTCGCAAACGCATTACTTTGGTTTTGTCATGGCGCGGCTTATTTATCATTTTTGAGAAATTTAAAATACTGACTAGATAGTCAACAGTGCAGACCATGAAGTTGTCTAATCTTGTTCTGCACTGATCACAGGGATATATACTTTACTGTCAGCAGACTACCGGTTATAAATGATTATTTTGTTCAATAATGTCAAAACATACAAAGTAGAAAAGAAATGCATTTATTAGAGATACCTACCTCTGTGCCTTTTTCCAGCGCATCTATGAGAAGTGTATGCAGAATGGACATTTCTTTGCCAAAATCTATAAATCCATCATACTCTGTGTAATTGTCGTTGGGGTCGGCAGACTGCAACAAAAAGAAATCAGTGTCATAATACATGTTATCTGTTTTGTCTGTTTGTTTTTTGTGGCTCTTACTACACTAATTTTAACACATTTTATTATATCTAGATGGCCTATCTACTTTATCTGCTTTCCTGGTTAAAATTAACCAGTTATTACCAATTTCTCTGCAAGTGACCGACAACTAATCAAAGATGATTTCTGAATCAGCAGTGAGAGACAAATGACCATTATACTCCATGTTTCTAGGTCAATGGTCAAGGAGAGATTTCACCTAACTTGAGGATCAAATCAGCTACACCTAGATTACTGAGCAAGTGTTCTCCCTATTGAGCTAAGCTAGGGGACTGGCATAAATAGTGTATCTAATCATAGTAGTCTCTTGAATCAGAGAAAAAGGGAAGAAATGCCCTCTTTACAAGTTACTTGTAAGCTATTTGCAAAATAAACACTTCCTGACATTATCTTGCAAAGGTCAGTGGTTCTACTAAGTTGCCATACTTGCCAATTATAATACATAAAGGAAAGCAACCAAGGTCCTCGTACATCAGTTTAGCTGGTCAACTGCCATTTGAACTTGATAGTATTGAGATTCAATACTCCAAATAAATATGCATGCTTCACTGAAACATATATCCATAATCATTTAAAATTACTAGATTTTAAAACAAAATCGTAACTTACAGAGATTTTATGAAGGAAATCTTTCATATTGCACCATTCTTCATCCACAAAATCATTCATGAATGTCGTATACTCTTCTTTACTACCAAACCTGTGAAAACCATTATAAAAATATGAAACATATGACCACATAAGAAAGTTTTAATTTTCAACTGCTTATTAATCTGTGATTCTTTGTTAACTCTTGCGATGAAAATTTAATTAAACATTTTTACACTATTACAGAGATATAAGAACCTAATGTCTCCAGCTTAAAGAAGCAGAAGTTTGACTAAGCAGAGGTTTGACATAACAAATGTTTTACTAAACAGAGGTTTGATTGCTTCTATGCTAAAAGTGAAATTATTTAACACCATTTACCAAATCTGACCAAAGCCTACATTATTGACTTCAATTCATAAAATCACTCACATTCACATTGGACAGATCATAAGTTCCTGTAGGGAAAGTTCAATGTATATATATTTTTAAATATATACATGTATATAAAAAGAGAGGTTAATCTTTATCATTTTAAGTGTGTTGCAGAGTCTTGTGCTGTAAAATAATTTAATAGTTTATCACATGAAGACTGAGAAGAACATACTTTGAAAAGTTTGCCAAAGTCTGTATAGTTTTGGCAATAAGTGTGAGATTTCTGGCAGCTTTCTCGTTGGGATATTCTTGCGTAAGGTGGAACAAACTCGGTGAAAGAATTGCTGGGCATAAAAATCGTAGAAATATGGAAGCACTGATAAGGTTGTCGCTAAAGTCACCTTTGCCTTCTCCTTCGCAACACCCTCGAAATCTTGTGAACACTGTTCGTAACTCACTGTTAATATTTAAAAAAAAAAAAAATTAAGTTTTTAAGTTGTTAAATTGGAGCTTACATAAACAAACCTTTATACATTATATAAAAACAAGCTTTAAATAAAGTAAATTATTTCACCTTAATGCAAGGAAAATTCTATAATTATTTTCATCAATTATCAACAACTACCAAACAACCTGCAAAAATGTCACAGTACCTATGCCAAAAGCAATGCTACTGAAATAAAACCAAGAAATGATATTTGAACCTGTATTGTAATGAAAAGTTGAATGCAGATCGTAATAATAGTTGAACAAGGATCTTAATAATAGTTGAACAAGGATCGTAATGCTAACTGAATGAGGATTGTAATAATTATTGAATGAGGATGGTAATGATAGTTGAATGAGGATTGTAATAATAGTTCAACGAGTCGAATGAGGATCACAATAATAGTTCAACGAGGAAATAACATACCAGGGAAAGAAAGACGATGATGTGGTGATTTTACTCCAGACCATATCGCAGTACATACGAAGATTAGCTTGATGACGTGTTAACATGGACGGAATTGGGACACGGGTGGGATCCACCTCGCAATCATCCTCACTCTCTATAATTGTCCGCACAAAGTCACCCAATGTATCGTTTAAATACTGAAACAAATAACATTAGGATAAACTCTCTATAATTGTCCGCACAAAGTCACCTAATATATCGTTTAAATACTGAAACAAATAACATTAGGATTAACCCTCTATAATTGTCCGCACAAAGTCACCTAATATATCGTTTAAATACTGAAACAAATAACATTAGGATTAACCCTCTATAATTGTCCACACAAAGTCACCTAATGTATCGTTTAAATACTGAAACAAATAACATTAGGATTAACCCTCTATAATTGTCCGCACAAAAGTCACCTAATGTATCGTTTAAATACTGAAACAAATAACATTAGGATAAACTCTCTATAATTGTCCGCACAAAGTCACCCAATGTATCTTTTAAATACTGAAACAAATAACATTAGGATAAACTCTCTATAATTGTCCGCACAAAGTCACCCAATGTATCTTTTAAATACTGAAACAAATAACATTAGGATAAACTCTCTATAATTGTCCGCACAAAGTCACCCAATGTATCTTTTAAATACTGAAACAAATAACATAAGGATAAACTCTCTATAATTGTCCGCACAAAGTCACCCAATGTATCTTTTAAATACTGAAACAAATAACATTAGGATAAACTCTCTATAATTGTCCGCACAAAGTCACCCAATGTATCTTTTAAATACTGAAACAAATAACATTAGGATAAACTCTCTATAATTGTCCGCACAAAGTCACCCAATGTATCTTTTAAATACTGAAACAAATAACATTAGGATAAACTCTCTATAATTGTCCGCACAAAGTCACCCAATGTATCTTTTAAATACTGAAACAAATAACATTAGGATAAACTCTCTATAATTGTCCGCACAAAGTCACCCAATGTATCTTTTAAATACTGAAACAAATAACATTAGGATAAACTCTCTATAATTGTCCGCACAAAGTCACCCAATGTATCTTTTAAATACTGAAACAAATAACATTAGGATAAACTCTCTATAATTGTCCGCACAAAGTCACCCAATGTATCTTTTAAATACTGAAACAAATAACATTAGGATAAACTCTCTATAATTGTCCGCACAAAGTCACCCAATGTATCTTTTAAATACTGAAACAAATAACATTAGGATAAACTCTCTATAATTGTCCGCACAAAGTCACCCAATGTATCTTTTAAATACTGAAACAAATAACATTAGGATAAACTCTCTATAATTGTCCGCACAAAGTCACCCAATGTATCTTTTAAATACTGAAACAAATAACATTAGGATAAACTCTCTATAATTGTCCGCACAAAGTCACCCAATGTATCTTTTAAATACTGAAACAAATAACATTAGGATAAACTCTCTATAATTGTCCGCACAAAGTCACCCAATGTATCTTTTAAATACTGAAACAAATAACATTAGGATAAACTCTCTATAATTGTCCGCACAAAGTCACCCAATGTATCTTTTAAATACTGAAACAAATAACATTAGGATAAACTCTCTATAATTGTCCGCACAAAGTCACCCAATGTATCGTTTAAATACTGAAACAAATAACATTAGGATAAACCCTCAATAATTGTCCGCACAAAGTCACCCAATGTATGATACAAATTAAACAAGCAATTATCATAGTATTGCAAGCAATCCATAAGTCCCCTACCGGTAAGAGCCCAAGCAACATTCTGAAGGGCCATTGGCCATTCACTTATGTTCCTATTTTAAGTAAATTTGTTGAAAAAGTTCTTTAAAAGTGATCACAGGAAACAGTTTTTATGTACAGACAGACGGACTGAAGGACACTCTAAAGTTATTTTTTAAACATCCCTGTTATCAAAATATAACATTTTTAAAATCCTATCACAATTGGAGAAGTTGGAGTAAAAATTACCAATTTCTCAAAAAAAAAAATCTAAGTTCAAAAGGGGCATAATTCTGGAAATAGTCTTGCTAGAGTATTGAACACTCACAAATGTTGAGTGATAATAAGAAACATTTATATGAAGTTTGAAGTAGATACATTCAGAAAAAGAAGTTATTAAAAAAACAACAATGTTTTTTCATGAAAATTTTAAGTTCAAGGGAGGTAATTCTGATAATTTTTGTGCTAGAGTTGTAAACCTTGTCACATATGATGTGGTTGATTACAAGCAACTTATATTTAATGTTTGAAGAAAATACCTTAAGAAATAAAGAACTTATAGTGAAAAAAATTAAAAACTAGAATCAGAAATCTTGAAATTCAGTCTATTTGTTGCCATAGCAACCAGAATTTTCAACATAGGAAGATAAGAAAAGGATGTGCATAATTTCCATACTGCCATACACCCATATGTCAAGTTTCATAAACATATTTTCAGTACTTTTTGTGTTATCACTGGATCCAGGTTATGTGTAAAATTTGCCATATTTTCAGTCTATTTGTTGCCATAGCAACCAGAATTTTCAACATAGGAAGAAAAGAAAAACACATGCATAATCTCCATACTGCCATCTATCCATATATAAAGCTACATAAAAATATTTTCAGTACCTTTTGCGTTATTGCGGGATCCAGGTTATGTGTAAAATTTGCCATATTTTCAGTCTATTTGTTGCCATAGCAACCAGAATTTTCAACATAGGAAGAAAAATAAAAGACGTGCATAATCTCCATACTGCCATCTATCCATATATCAAGTTTCGTTAAAATATTTTCAGTACTTTTTGTGTTATCGCGGGATCCAGTTTTGTGGACGGACGGACTGACGGACGGACAGACGGACAGACAGACGGAGGGTAAACCTAAAGTCCCCTCCGGTAAACCGGTAGGGGACTACGTTAAAATATTTTCAGTACTTTTTGTGTTATCGCGGGATCCAGTTTTGTGGACGGACGGACTGACGGACTGACGGACGGACGGACGGATGGACGGACAGACAGACGGAGGGTAAACCTAAAGTCCCCTCCGGTAAACCGGTAGGGGACTAATAAGGATAAATTTCAAATTGAACATGAAAAACAAAAACTGCCTTAGAAATTGTCTTAACACTCTAGAAATATAATAGAAAATTTTATTATTTTTTTTTCCTAAAAGATTTCTGAAATGTCATACAGCATGATAATATTTTGGAAAAGAATTTCAGCAATTAACATACATATTTTTATAATTTTACAAACATTGTTTTTGAGCTTCTTACCTTTTCTCCAACCAATTTCATATGAGCTTCCATTGACTTTGTGGCAATACTGTTACCTCTAAATATCAAATCTTTGTTGTCTGAAAGATAAAATTTCCAGATTATTGTTTTAGCACAGTCATTAAAATGAAAATTAAAGAAATGAAGCTGAGACTATCAATAGGATCTAAACTAAAAATAATTATCTAACACACTAGTTTTTGCTATCAGCTGGTTCAGTTTATTTCCTGCTAATTTTTGGTGTACCAGAATATCATCAGTGTTGGCAAGGAAACAGTAAAATGTTGAATGCTTAATCAAAGTTAGAGCAGGCTAGCCTTGAGCAGACTGACCTAGAGCATGCTGACCTATATCAGGCTGGCCTTGAGCAGACTGGCCAAGTTTTATGCTCAATACTTGTCATTGTCATGGTATTGAAAAATAAATATAAAAGTACTTTTATAACCCTTACCCTGCTAAAGATTAATGGGCTTGTCCGGAAAGAAAAATGGACATGTCCATTAAAAAGTGGTAAATCATTAAACTTACCAAGACGCAACACTTCGGCCATTACAAGCTCTGACAGGAAGTCTTGAGCTTTGTCAAGCTTCTGCATGATATTGACAAGAGTTTTTGCAATCTCTTCCTTGTCCTTGATGCTGAGAAGTGGTTCCAGGCTCTCACACAATTGTACATAATTTTCTTTCAAATACTGTAAAAATAATAATCAAGTTTGTCATGAAAATGGTAGGAAAAAAAAAAACAATTCTTATCAACATATTTTAATTGATGGTAAAGCACTCTATAATTTTTAAATTTTACGCTGTCTGACAAATGCCAATTTCTTGAATTGAGAAAGCAAAATTCAAACATTATTATAACCTCGTGGATATGCCAATTATAGATTTTAATAAATTTTACTTTTATGTTTATATCTAAAGAAAAATAATCTTCATTTCAGATGAGAATAAAAATATTTTAATTATCAATAATTATGTCTTTAAAACATATACAAGCAACAAATACAGTCCAACATGCTGTGAACGTGACCGGCGAGGTGTCAGAGAAAATCAACGGTTGCTGGTCTTTGTTGAAAAGTGGTCTTTCATAACATATATAACCCTGCATAAAAACTTGTCAAAACTTGAGCAAAATGACTGTCTTTAAAGAAACATTTTCTTTACATGAAGTGTATTTAGAGTGGTTTTAAGCTCAGGTTTGAGGGTATAAATTAACATTTTATTATTCCAGTAACATACTTACATTAGAGAGATCTTTATACAGATCAACAGGAAGTATTTGAACAGTTTGGTGACGAACTTTCAGACGTATCAAAGGAAGATCGATCTTGTTCTCTTTCCCTCCTTTACCAACTGTTCCGGAACTTGTCGCAAACCTAAAAATATACATAAACACTTTTTTTATTCAAACTTCGAACATTTTTATTTGAACCTAATTTTGTAGAATATCCATGTCCTGTTTTAAATTAAATTTGGACTATTCAAATGTGTTTTTCCCAGGTATTTCAATCGAAGAATAAGCCCTTGCCAACATATGGTGACTAAAAATCTCTTCGAAAAATAAAATGGACAAAGAATAATAGGTATAGAAAATTTGTGTATTTAGTATCCATTAGAGAAATTTTGTTTATATAAATTTTCCAATTATTATATTACATTTCCAATGTATATTATTATATTACATTTCCAATTATCATTATGCATATTATTATATTACACTTCCAATTATCATTATGAATATTATCATATTACATTTCCAATTATCATTAATATGTATATTACGTTTTCAATTATCTTATGCATCCGAAATATCGGTGTGACAGTTACATTGAATTTTGTTACTTTTATGTGTGATGTGATATCACATCCTATATTAATATTATCACTCTGATAAGGATCTTTTGTCAAATACGTAAATAAATTTCAAAGAAAATATATGTCTTTCGTTTTTGACCTGCTTAAAAGGTAAAGGTCTTGTTTATTAAATATAGTGTCACCCCTACTGAAAGGGCCAGCCATTTCTGACTTATGAAACACCTTTTGCTTGCATACCATGTACCTCCCAACTCCTACAACTATGCCAGGTGTCAGGCTGATAGAAATCGGTAACCATTTTTTAAACTATCTCATTGTTTTTGTTTATTAAAATCAAAATGCTGTTAAAAGAACTCACCATCTCTCGACATATTGTCTGTTACTAATATCACATATAGGTATTTTTGAGTAACCTGAAACATAAAGACAAATTAACCAATCAGCACCAGCCATATAAAGTGTAGTCTAAATTATATTAACCCTTAACCTGCTATATTTCTATAATGGATCTGCCCAGCTTTGAATTTGAAACAGTCCATTCAAAGTTCAAGGGATTTCAATTATCAAAAAACAAAAATTGAGCTGCCAACAGTATAAAGCCTGGACAGACTGCACGGATGCATTTCAGACATTGCAGACCATGACCATGACCAGACGGCACTGATTTGTAGGCTTGATCTTGGTCTGCACTAGTCACATGGGTAGATTCAGCAGCTGCAAGCAGGCTATGGTTTAAAAGTCAACTTAGTGCACATACTATAATTATAGTCCAAAATTTACTTCTTTTACGAGCAATTAATGTAAAAGATCATATACATCACAGGAAGAGTTACCTATTAATGTGTTTCTGTCTTTCTTCTTCTTCTTGTCTGCTTCTCTATACAGATTCACTATTAAAAACTCCACTGTTGGTAAATTGCTGTAAAACCAAGGGAGACAATTCTTGTATCATCTTACAAAAATTCTTCAAAGGGTTACCTCCCTTTTTCCAATATAAGATTCTATTGGTTACAATTATTTGAGATTTCTGATTTACTTAAAAGAAGAGTGTCTTTAAAAGAAGCATTGCCTTCTTACTATATTTTACTTATACTACTTGACAAACAATAAAGCTACAGAACAATTTGCAGGGTTCCAATTTAATTTGACCTTGATAATTTAAATCTATTTAAACTAAATACATGTATATAGCCAAGTACTTCACTAGCATTGTTTTGCACATTAATATGACCAATTTTCACCTTAAAATGCTTAACTGGAGTGCAAGTTATTTTTGTTACATATCTTAGTAACAATACACATGTATACAGTTATTCAGAACCCAACCAACAGGTGTGAACAGGATAGAACAGCCAAAATCTACATTGGTGTTCCTTGTTCAACATTTTCACAACTTTATATAACAAGCAAGCTTACTCAAACTCAAATTGTTCTCCCCAGAACAGCATGTCTCCCTTTGTTTTGATAGACGTCCGTGCGTACAGATGTTTGTCTAAACATACCTCACAGAAATATCTGAAACAAACAAAAAATCTCATTTCAATGGTGACAAATTTTGTTCAGGAATTAGGATAAATGTTGAGTTTTGCTTAGATATCACAGTTTGGTGACAGAAAGAAGTGTGCCATGAACATGCATATTAAAAAATATATACCTGTGGGGAAATATCTATGTACATTGCGGTGGACAGATGAACATGGGCAAATCTATACCCTCAATACTCATCCTCGAAGTCGCAGGGGCTTTTTTCAAACTTATATTTCCTTTATCAAATATATAAAGTGCTTGTACACAAAAAAGTATTGTATATCTTATTTCATTTCATAGCAAAACACTTCAGTCATAAAAATAACAACTTTTCTTGCCCATGATAGAGGTAGAAGTTTTCCTACAGGTGGTTCGTAACACCACACATTGCCTAACTTTATAATTATGAGAAAAAACTCTGTGTTTTTACAAGCCTAGCAGACAATGTTTATGTTATTCTTATAAAGAGACCTCATGTTTATACTCTATTTCTTTTTTAGTGCCTTTCTTTCAGAAATTTGCTGATTTTTATGTTACAGAAGCCTGTGAAATGTACTGTTTGACTTTTTCTCCTTTTTTTTTGGAGCAAATAATGACTGCGTCTGGGTAAAACCTACGATTTTACAACATATTTTTTTGTTGCATAATAAAGTTGTAATCTAAGTACTTTAAGGAACTAAAATATCAAATAATAAATGCTAGCTACCATCTCTCCAGGAAATCAACTTTAAAGTTTATAAACCCTTAGTAGCAATTGGTCAATTTCAAAAATTTATGTTACACAATCAACCAATCAAAAGTTGTTATTTTCAGACTGGTTTTGCAAGGCATGTTAAATTTAGTGTAAAACCAGGCTAGAAACTCAGGTAATAGCTGCAGATAGTGACTAATTCTAATTTACCAGATTTGTCTAGGTAACAAAATAAAGCCTGTCTGATGGAACCAGGTAGATTATGTCTGGTTATACAACAAGATACACACAAGATAATTACTTGTTGTGATTTTTCTCTTATCTATAAATTATCAGATGTTTTCTCTGCATTCAGCCCCAGGTCAGTGTATTATCTAGATTAACCTTGATGTTATACCATATTAACCCACAGTAAAAAGATTATCATTTAAACTTCCTGGTTAGATAATATTCCGAGTGCAGTTTTTGTAAAAAATTCTTGTTCCAATTATAATTTGAATGGAAAAATAGTAAAGACCAACCGAAAATTATTGATAAATCCCTAAATCTAGCATTTCTTTTATGTGAAGTGGGCTAGTTGAGCAAAGCATAAGCATATGCACTAGCTGGGTAGGTTCACCGAAGTGGGTTAGTTGATCTAAGGGGGTTTGTTGATAAACCACATCAACAATTGGGGTTATTAGTTCTTGTTAGCCAATTCCGGATACAAGAATTATTCAATCATAAGAAAATAACCAGTTTTATATAGTGTCATACTGAAATATATGATTTAACACTGAAAATTCTGAATTAAGGAATAACCCTGAATGCTTCACCCAGATATTTACCTTTTCTTTGACGGAACATTTTTGGCCTCCTGTACCCAGACTTTCAGGGAAGATTCACTTCGACGGTTATTCTCTTGCTGTGGGTTGGCTGTACGACGTAAACTAGAAGAAAAAAAACTAGAAAAAATAATTTAATGTATACATTAAAAACATGACTATATCAAGTGGAAGTGGTTATTCCCCCTTACTTAATGAACCCAATTTGTACCTGATGATTGCTAAAAGCATGAAACTGCATAGAAGTGCCATTAACATGAAACATTGATTCTTTCATCGTTTGTTTACATTAAAGCATATGTAAACCAGGCCACCATCTACCCATATTTCAAGTTTCTTAAAAATATTTTTAGTTTTTTGCGTTATCTCTTGATCCAGTTTTTGTGGATAAATGGACAAACAGGCAAACAAACTGACTGACAGACTAATGGAGGGCAAACATCAAGTCCGGTCCGGTTAAATCAGTAGGGAGCCAGAAATGTTATTCACAGGCATAATTATGTTACTGACTATTAGTTTATTGAACTAGGAACTTGCTATTAAGGAAACTGACAAAGAAAAATAACTTCCTCTATATATTGTACTGATATCCATCGCCTTATAGGGAAACTTTGAATATTTATTCTGCATAGGTGAAGTACAGAGGACCTACTTCCTGAAAAATCTTCTATAAACGTTGTCTTGTTGACTTATTTTAAATCTACATGTATAATAATACTTTACATAAATGTGCTCCTTCTATACAAAGGAATTAGTGTCAGCTGACCTATAAATGAGCCGTGTCATTACAAAAGCAACATAATGGGTTTGCGACCAGCGCTATCAGTTTCTCTACTTGTTATAGGGTTTGTAAGCGAACAGCATGGATCCTGATCAGACTGCACGGATGCGCAGGCTGGTCTGGATCCATGCTGGTAGCAAACCCATTATGTTGGTTTTGTCATGACGCGGTTCAAATAATAAATAAATTTCGGGTTCCGGTTCCGACTGGTAGTGACCGCCACAGTCGGCACTAATATCATTTCATTCGGTCCACTATAACTTTGTACTGTATAACCACAAACAGGACTTTACAAAACCTGTATTATCTATTCTATTACAAACTTTTCTTCCCCGGACATTTCACTTGAAATGTTGTCGCTTAAGCAACAAATTCACATAATTCCTTTTCCTGTCCATTTCATGCTTATATAGGGTGGTGTATTATATAAGAGCATTACACAGTACAAATAAAATGTACTTAGATGTCATAGCAATACAGTGACCATATAAACTGTACTGGCAGGGAGTTAAAACAAAGCTTCAGTTAAACAACAACAAAACATGTCTTTTAAATAGGTCAACATTAAATATTTACTTTAATTTCCATTGTGATAAATTTTAGTACAATACATGTATATTACATTATTGTATTTTGGAAGCAAAAATTATCAACAAAGGTCATATTTCTTCTCATTTCCCACCAACTGGTTTTGTAACAGAGACCCCTAGTTACACTTTTACTATTATTATCCATTCTTTTAGTACTTCCATAATAACTTATAAGTTCCTTAAATATGGTGACTGAACTGTCGTCTGGTAAATTCAATGTGACTTACTGCCTTGATCCAGAGTGAGAACTACCGTCACCACTGCCACCACTTATGAAGTTTTAAATATACTGTAATTTAAAAACTGAATTCATACCTAGTCATCCACTGTTCTCGTTCCTCAGCGGTCCGGCACGAGATATACTTGCTCCCGTGCATCGTCGACACCTGGAAACAATGATCCTCTGTCAGTATACTACGATGTAACGGACGTATTTCCATGTCGGGGGACGTCAGGTCGATCGAGTGTAGAGGACTGTGGGTAGTGAGCAAGGATTCATGGGACTGCGAGTTCTTTAATCGTGAACTTATCACAGACCTGAAAATATACAAAAATAAATGGTTATTATTTGAAAAAAGAAAAAGAAAATTGGTTGAGAATTCATTGAAATAATCATATATAAAATATCTAAATAGCTATATTATAGCATTTCTACATATTATAATAACATTTTGAAAAACATCTATAAACATCGCCCATGGATGTCCCCCCCACCCCAACATCATTTGTCAGAACAGCGGGACAAATAGACTAAGACAATACTTTACCCCCCTCTCGCCCCCAATAATTGGAGACATAAAATCAAATTTAATTTTTATTAAAATAGTAACAGACACACAAATTTAAAAATTTCAATATTTCTTTTTTCACTGTAATTTTGTTTCCATTATCTTTAAAACACCATTATCAATTCTTAAGCAGGATGAACATGTATTTAATTCAAAAGTGAACAATAATTGTTTAATAATCTGTGTTAAAATCATTATAATCTACTACTGCATGTTTGTCAAAAACTAAATTATGATTTTTTATGTATTTTTTTTTTAATTGAATTCAAATTTCCTAGTTTTGTGAAACTAGCAATTATGAAGTTATTGAAATTTAATTCCCTCATTATAATAAATTGAAGGTGAACAGAATAATAATAGTACCACCAGCTGCCTATTTAAATTACTACAGAATTTTTATCAATACAATATAAATTATTTGATTATTTATAATGTATGATAATTACCAAAATTTAAAAACAGATTTCTTCCTCCTTTCCTTATGCACCATGTCAAAATTTATTATATCAGAATATAATTATATTTATACACAAATCAACAAAAACAATATAATTTAAATCCTTTTAAAACATTCAATATCTGTCCTTCAATTTTTTATATAAGTCCCTTGTAGGTCTATATTATAGCTCAGTGTTCGATGCTTTGTTTCAATTTTAAGTTTTCCAGGCACTTTATAAGCATCTTTGAAGAGAGCACTACATGCACTCACTGTCACAAGATAAACGCCTATTATATCATGTAATGACTTCAATCTGTTTATCACTATTAATGTACTTTTAATTGATTAATCTTCACATAACAGATATCCTTCAGCTAAAAATAAACAACAGTAACTATCGGCTATTAACAGCACCATCTGGATCTGGACTTAAAAAGTTTTCCGCGTTCAGTAAAAATTTGAAAATGTCACTGCGTACATATTGTATTGTTTAACAACTATTTAAACATACAAGTTCAAGGGGTTGTGACCATGAATAACAAGACTTAATTGATCATGAGAAATAAATGATACAATCATCTTTACAGGAAACCTTGTCAATAAATTTGTATATCTAATTAAACTTAACGCTGCTAATGCACAATAAGTCATTACCAAAATTAGTGCCCCCTTCCTTTAACAGCTCATAATGAGCAGAAAACCCAGAATTTTATTTTCGGTATATAATAATATTATGAAATTTTCATCATCATTATTTAAAACATGCATATGATAATTATCTCATGTTGTGCATACTGATTTCAACATAATACAAATCATAATTTTACAGCTGTCATAGATTTAGTGCAAAGCATCATCCAAGATATAATATTAATATCGGATGACAAATATCAACGATTCACTGATATTACAATAACGATTATAACTTATTATAATTAATTGTCTATAATTCACTGTCATACTCGTTAAAATGATTTCAGTAAAAATTTATACAATTATGACATGTCTTGTATATAAATGCTATTGAATGGAATTTTTTTCTCCCTCGATCTTCACTGCTATGAAATATTTCCATTAGGTTACTGTGAACAGCATAGTTTCCACACATGGATACCTACTTCTGTATATGTTTTTTTGTGAATTTTCATAATTTCTAGACATTTTATTTAGTATTCAAAATATAGATTTTTATCAGATGTTTATTGATTATCGATCAATAAAAAATATCAATGATATTATTAGAAATTATTCCTATCATGACAGCTCTACATAATTGTACATGATGCAGGTAATCCAAATATCATTTTTATATTCAAAACATATGTACTCCACTGGCAGTAAGAATTATTACAGCATTAATAAAGCACTTCAAACAAAATAATATAGATATATAACTTCTACAGAACACCTAGTACATGTATGTAATAAACTAAAATTGACAGATTCACGTTTACTTTTACCTATATTACCAATTACCCTCTTATCTTATTTAATCCATTTTGATCCACTCGGCTAATGACCCATAATTTTCTTTCAGGATTTTTTCAGGCTTCATCAGAACTTATCATGGCTTTTTTGTTCATCAAAGACGGACATTATCTAAATCCTTTGTTTAGTAAACAATCGTCTATACATACTATGATAAGTAACCAGAAATATTATGAAAACATTGTACAGAAAATTATCTCATTTATCTTTATTACTTTAATCGCCTTTAATTTTTTCTGACAACATTATATGAAAAAGAAAGCAATATAAAGGTACTTGACCTTATTTCAGTGTCTATTTTAATCAACTTCTGTGTGTAATCCCCTGATATCTTACAAACAAACAGACACAAGTCTGAATGGCACCCTTTACAGTTTAATGTAAACAAACAATTTAAGCCTCAAATGCATTATATTCAATATTTTTATCAGCTTAAAGGCTTGAAGGTGATGCATTATAGTTTCACTCTATGTTCCATCAGTCATTTTCTCCCTGGTGGAATGGTTAAGGTTGTTGACTTCAAACCACAAGCCCCTCTTCGCTGTGAGTTGACGTATCAAGACAGGAACTTTAGAATCTTTCATGTGAGGAAGCTATCCAGCTAGCTTACGGAACGTCGGTGGTTCTACTTGGGTGCCCGTATGTGCCTGAAATAATGCACAGAAGGGCAACAGAGGGTCTACCTCCACCAGTAAAGCTGGAACGTTGCCATATGACCTATACTGTGTTGGTGTGATGTAAAACCCAATCAAACAAACAAACAAACTTTTTCTCTCAAAAATTATCTATATGAACTTGTATACCAGTCAAGAAAAGTTTTGGTTCATCACTGTCTTACAGTAAAGGTAGCAGAAGATAAATCATTTGCATATATATTGCTTATGAAGCAATGGTGGTCATATAAGGGTACCCTGAAGCCCACCCTGCAAGAAAACCCTGGGTTGATGTATATACGTATACAAGAATAAAAGAATTTGTGAAGCCTATATTGACATTTCTGTAATTTAACTCTCGTTCAAGCCATAATTAATAATGCAATAACATTTAATCAACAAATTTACATCCTGATTTGAAACCGCCTTGATCTTGATTATTAGTATTAATTATACACATAATTATACTGATCAGGAAAACAAAATAAAGTGATACACATATTTAGTCATAAATTTGTAAACAAACTTCCCTATGATCTTGACTGACTGTATATGAGCCACGTCACGACAAAACCAACATAATGGGTTTGCGACCAGCATGGATCCAGACCAGCCTGCGCTTCCGCGCAGTCTGATCAGGATCCATGCTGTTCGCTATCAGTTTCTCTACTTGTTATAGGGTTTGTAAGCGAACAGTATGGATCCTGATCAGCCTGTGCAGATGTGCAGGCTGGTTTGGATCCATGCTGGTCGCAAACACATTATGTTGGTTTTGTCATGACGTGGCTCAATTATACTTACAATATGTAAGTTGAGTAACTCATCATTCTTTCACAAATATTGTCTGCTGATTTCTGACATACCCTATCCTCCATCCTGCCTTAACCTTGTCTACAGAATCAACAAATTCTTCCCTTCTACAAATAAATCAAGCGCTCCCTCGTTTGATTAACAAACAACTTTCAAATAAACAGGAATCAATCACAGACACTATTCATCATTCTAAGAATCTCTTTTATCTTCTTATTCCTGCCAGAAATTGGACTTTTTGTATATATTATAATGTTATAGTCTTGATTTATCGACTAGATTATAACATACCAATCACTCCTCAAAAACAAAATCTCCATTATCATCATCAATATATTTCAATTACAATAAATTTCAAGAATGAATAATCTTATATCCAACACATTATGATTTAAGGCATATTTCTTCCATCAATTTTTCAAATATTCAATATCTATTGTTCTACATAATGTAATAGTCTGGAGCTATTTTTACATAATTCTGCCATATTTCAAACAATAAAATTTCAACATATACTGGTACACATGTAACTCATTCCTTAATGATTTCGAAATTCCTCAATAATTCAAATCCAATTAACACAACGTAGTAAACTTTTATTTCAAATCATTTTTACAATACACAATGTTGATGGTAGGAGACCCAAAAAAATTCATGTTTACATATCAGAGTAAATCCACACTGTCATGTTTACACAAATAGAAAATATTTCAAATATTTTTCGATACACATGAAATATGTCGCTAACTTTATAACTATTATTTTATGTCCACTTCTGCTTCATCAGACACTAAGACTTTTATCCAACAGTTACTGCTGTATTTAAATTTTTCCCTTTAAATTCTTTCATTTACATATTCCCTCTAGTTTCAGGTATCAAAATGTGACAATAAAATATTCAATTTCCGAAGTTTTACACGTATTTGATGTGACAGAGTTAAATATCCTTAAATATAGTATAGACTATAGAGTCATATCGTGCGTATACAATCCAATGAAAATTTGAAAAATCAGTCACCCATTAATATTTCCTTTTCCTTTATATGATTTAAATATACGCAAACAATCCAAGATGACTTACATCAAATTATAGGTGTGTGTGTATGTAAACTTTACAATAAACCAGGTGCTATTTAAAAACAAACCACATAATAAAATATGACATATCCTTAAAATAAACAAACTTCCTTTTCTCCACTAATCCGCCATTTTCAACAACTTCTTTTCAAATGGAATCTTAACAAAAGTCAACACCAACTTGCAATAAAGATTTCCTTCTAAAGTACTATCAAAATGTAAGTTATGATATATAAATCATGCCAATCATGAAATAAATTAAATCTTATCATATCAATTCTT